GTTTCGGTCGAAAAGTTGAATCATCCGTTTCAGGCGCGTTGCTCACCATGTTCACTGTTGCTCGTACTAGGGGAGAAAATAGCCGGCTGACTATTCTGATGGGCTGTTTTCGTAACACTCGCAATAGAAACGAGACTGACCCCGTTTAACACTATGCTAGCAGGTTAGATCCCATTTAACACTGGACTGGCAAAGCATCACCTGGCAGTCAAGTCCCAGCTACTTCAGCCACCCAGAACTCTGTAAGCAGATTTAATTTATGTTGTGAAATACCATTTACAGTTTTTTCAAATAAACATGGATTTCTATACTAAGCATATTTTGACTGCTACTAAAACAATAAAACCTCTGGGATGTGCTTTTATAGTATTTTGGTTTTGGCTATTAAATATTCCGGCCATTTCAATAAGTCCACAACACCTTAAGGACAGCTTCACGTTGAGTGGCTTCAAGGTGTAATCCCCCAAGATGAGCTGTGTTCTTTGGATGCGTAGCTGAAATACTGTAAAACTGATAGAGGGGACCTATAGAATATCTGTTTTTCCTTTGTAACACCAAGGTAAGCAAAATGAAGGTGCTGCTGTCTGGTGTACAGCGTTCACACCAACTGCGCCCACCCTTTGCTACATTTTGACACCATCCAGAGTGGTTTGGAGCAAAGAGAGTGGGAGATGACCTTTTATTTTCAGTGTTACTGAAATACCTGCACAAACTGCATGTTTTGGTATATTGGGTAATGACATGTAATTGTAAAAACATAATGTCTTCAGTGCTAGTTTGAATTAATCTTGTCCGATTACAGTAGTTGGCATCATTTAGTGGCGACCTTACCACTTGACCGGCAGACCCGTAGACCGAGTACTACAGGAGTAAGTAGGAATTCCTGGGATCTCGGTAGTATATACGTCCACTTAAAGGCTTCAAGTTCTTTTGTGCTTTTGGGACTGAACCACAGCGGCGGTGTCGCGCTGGTTTTGAACAGCAGCGGCCGTCCGGCCCGAGTCACCCGCAGGCAGCAAGGTGCTCGCGCGTCCCGACGGCCGGCGAGGGCTTGCTCCGCCTGACCCCTGTGCTGCTGTGCCCTCGGTCACCCTTCGCTCCATTGGGCTTCTCCGGAGATCCCCCTCGGTGTTCCCGGAGCACCACCCGACGCTGCGAACGCAGGGCGTCAAATCGCGTCCTACGCCACGTGAGAACGGGTGCGTGCTGCTGGCGCGGGGTGAGTTCCGTGCTGTAGAGCGGAGTCGCGGTGTTCGCGCCCGGAACCACGAGATCTGTTCCCTGTCCTCACCCTGCTCAGGCGGCGGCACAGTGACGGGAGGCGTGGGGCAGCAGGGGTGTCCTGGGGCCTGCAGCTTTCCCAGCTGTGAGTCTGGCTGCCTCCAGGTCTCCGGCTGAGAAGGGCAGTGGGTGCTGTGACGCGGCGCCCCGTGTTTCCCACCTGCGCAGCGGAGCTCGCGGCGTTGGCCGACCCCGGGGGGGGGCGGGGTAACGGCGTTAAAAGGCTGAGGTGCTAGATGCCTTTTTTTAAAGTCTTGACTTTAGCTTACTTTTTTAAAACTTTTTGAATGTTATTCCTCTTTGATGTTTGGTTGTGATTCATTAAAGGACGAGTCTAGCTACTCTTGGTAGAAACCGAAAGCTGAAGTGTGTTATTTTTATTTCGCGTTTTGCACGGAAAGCAGCTCCACGAGCAGATTCTAACACGCGCGTGAAGGATTTGAATGAGGATTTATTAACATTTCGTTAACCCCAGAGGAGGAAAGAGAGAATCTCCGAGCGCTGGCTGCGGCAGCAGTGATTGTGCAGCCCTGTGAGTTCCAACGCCTCCGGGTCCCCTTCCGGGTACGGGCCTGGCCGGAGGCTGTCGGGGGGGTTAAGGGCCAGGCCTTGCTGAGGAGCAGCTAGACGGGTGCACCCGCACCGCAGAGGCGCGGGGCTGTCTCGGGGGTACACCGACCGTGTACTTTCTGCAGGGGTACGGTAAATCGCAGCCGTTGGGA